AAAGTTAGATGACGGGCAGCTCTTTTTCAATGTTTATGGCTAAAAGAGGAAAGCTTTAACTTGAAGGGATCTACTTCTGAACCCAGGATTCAAAAGTACAGTAGGTTATAGAGATCAAAGCAGACTTTCTTCAGTAATATGTTGTCTGTGCTTCCTCAACTCATTTAGGATTAGTTATTTCTTAAAATTCCAATTCTATTCCTTGTTTTTAAGAATCTACTTCTATATTTACACCTCGAAATGAAAGCACTCTTTTCATTTGATGAAATCATCCACTTAGTATTTGATTATTATGCAATGTAAGATAATTTCTTATGAAAGCAAAACTGTTCTTCTGTCCACAGTCCAAAACAAGATTTTGATTCATGAAAAAGAACAAATTTACCTGTTAGCCAATGTTTATATTTAAAGTTATAAAAGCTATTCAGTCATTTGTGCTATTTTTAATCTTTAAATAGAGCCATCTATTTCGGTGTAAAACATTTTAATCTCCTAATTTATTGCATTTAACCTCTATTGATCCTTTTTCACCCAAGTCCCATCTGCCAATTACTGTCGATGCAAGTTCATGTTTTTTTAAAAAGGCAGCTAAAATTGTGCTTTGAATTATATTTTTAAAAACTACACATTAGTGTTATTTCTTTTAAAAAGAAAGCCTGGTACAAGTATTTCATAGCTATCTATGGCTTGTGTGCTTCCCTCCTTTACTCACACAGCAGGGGATATGATAGCCTGCAGACTTTTCAGGACTATAATATATCTCCTTTCTGAATCTCTTTGTGTAGAACAAGCCCCTAAATATACTTGAGTCAAGAGGTCATTTATTTTTCACCTCCCTCTTCTCAGCAGGAACTGTGAGTCTATGAGATAAAAGTATTTTTTTTAATAAAAAAAGAAAGGAATTGCTTGATACACAGGTTATAAGCAGTAGAAGGAAGGGAAAACCTGCCTTCATCTTCCTGCTTGATTGCTCTCAGTGGCATTTACTTGTCAGTTTATTAGTGCTACTTCCACATCCTGATCTTAGTGAGCACAATGGGAGGTTGGCCTAGGCTGTCAAAGGGAGTAGCCAGCCCAAAGGATATCTTGGGCTTCATTTTGAAAGAATAACCTCAGTCAGATGGGCTGAACTTTTTCAGAAAGGTTTTCAGAAGGGTTAAAATGATGCCGTAATTAAGAAAAGGTGACAAAGATCAAGGAGAATCAACACTGTGCACCAACTTTTTCATGCTTAACATTTGTGATAGAGTAACTGGCTCAACTTTTGGCACAGAGACTGTGGATAGCTCTCCTTTTTTTAAAAAAAAATAATAAATCCCCATCATGCTCCTATGCCTCTTTCCTAATTTGGTCATAAAATTTTAAACTACAGTAGTAAGGCATTTCTTCCTTTTTAATGTTCAAAACTCCTTTGTAAAGATGGAGCTTGGCACCATCCTCCTTCATTCAATAGATTACCACTGCAAGCAAGCTCTAAAAATGAAAATCTTTTATTCTATAGCTTTGAAGTGTTTGCTTCAGTAAAAATAGCAATGTAAATATTATTATGCTGTCTCCCTATTAGTCAGGTCCCTGAAGATGTCATTGGCTAACTGGCTAGTTCAAGATGTCTTTGTTGAATGGAGTTGATAAACTATTTATTCTGTTGATTGAAACATATGACAGGGAAGGGAAGGATAAAACAAACTCTATATTGTCTTGGTATAAAGCATTATGCGGGAAGGTAACAAGAACACTTGACATTTACCAGTATTTTAAATTATTGCCCTTATAGGCAAGAGCATGATCCTGATGCCAAAGTGTAGAATTTAGGATTGTGGGTCAGGTAGAAGAGAAGAAAAAATTTTCCATATGAAAAATGGAAAAATGAACACACCACTCACTTATATGAAATGCTTATCAGTGTCACACTTTCTTTCAGGCTGAACCAATGTGGCTGCATTTTCCAGCCCACTGAAAGTCAGGTTTATGCAGTGAAAAGTGGCAAAATGGCATGCTGTGTCACTTCCAGCATGAGTAATTTGAGGACTTGAATTTTTAAAGGAGGAAAGAAATTTCCCTAATACTTTAGTTGCCAGGACTGTAAGCTGCTTGGATGAGAAACCTTTGTTCTGCCTATAGTTCTTGTTAGGAAATCTGCCACCATCTCCTTTGTTTAAATTTGACTTAGTGAGCAATTTGAACTTGCATCACCAAACTCATTATAAATATGCAAGTTCATTGGAGGGGGGGCAGCTGAATAAAACGGTTATGTAATTACATACTTCTCATAATTATTGAGTAATTATATACTTCTCATAATTGCCAAGTAATCATGCTGCTATAACTAGAACTTAATGTTACAACTAATTATATAATTACTGTATATTAATGTTGTTATCGAGGCAACAGAACAAAGTATTGCTTAGCTTGAAGCTTTTTTTTCTCAATAGCATTTTGAAATATACAAACTAATATTTGTTATGTAGCTGGAAATGGGTTTTATAGATGGAACATGTAAAGGAAAATAAAACTTATTTTAAAGAAAGAAATGGATGAAACTGTTATGCCTATGATTACTTGCTAGATATCAGCACTTGCGTCTAAAGTAAAAGTTTTAAATGTCTTCGCACATTTTCATATTTTGCTTCACATCCATGTGCAAAGAGGCATGTATGTACATCATGCAGAGAGCTATCCAAAGGTGACATAGAAAATGCATTCACTGCACTTCAACAAAAGTTGGGCATACGTACTTAATGATAGATTAAAGAATGATTTTGAGTTATTGTATGTTCTAACACTGATAATGGATAATTATAAAAATACAGTGAGCACAAGTTATTTTATTTATTTATAACATTTATTAACCATACTACAGGGTAATTTTGGGAGGCTTATAATAAACAAACAAACAAACAAACAAATAAATACTTTGTAGAGCAGTGGTTCTCAACCTTTTTAATGCCGCGACCCCAACCGGTCATAAGTCGAGGACTAAACCGGTCGTAAGTCGAGGACTAAACCAGTCGTAAGCCGAGGACTTTCCCTGCCCAGGAGCCCCGCACATGCGTGGTTCCGCCCCCTGCACTGGCCGAGGCGTAGCTGGCAAGCAGCAGAGACGGAGCAGGCCGACCACCAGCTGGCCCAGCCCAAGGGAGGTAAGGCACCCACCGGAAAAGGGGAAAAAATGGCGGACAAAAAAAATGGCGGACAAAAAAAATGGCAGACAGCCTTGCTTGGTGACCCCCGTGAAATGGTCGATCGACCCCAAATGGGGTCCCGACCCACAGGTTGAGAACCATTGTTGTAAAGGAAGGATGGACCCTTCAACTGAGTCTATGCTTTTTATTCACTGAAATAAAGCTGATACCCAGTTGCAATTTAAAATCTATCACAATTTGTTCTATATATTTTTTCATTTGTTAATTAGGTGGCTTTTCCCCTGTACTTTTTAAGAGTGCAGTTTTACTGTTTTATTGTTTTATCATGATTTAAGACACACAGAGAGGGGGAAGGGAGAGACAGAGAGAAGAGAGAGAGAGGGAGAGAGAGAAAAGTCTCCAGATTGTTCAAGCAAATTTAAGGGATATTGAGGAACTAGGGGTAAAACCTACCTCATCTAACACTCTCTAGCAAGAGATACACCTGCCCCATCTCTAGAATGTTGGTTCTACTCTCAAACTTCTCACATTTATGTTTTTTTTTAAAAAAAAATTAAATAGCTGAACAAGTTTTGAAGACAGAAATAGAAAAATTATAAAATATAAAAAAGGAAAGAAGTACATTAAAAAGACCCCCACCCTAAATAGAGAAGCTTTTTTGTCTTTTTGGTTGGTTTGTCTGTAAATCAACCAGAGTTTGTGTTCTTCTTTTCCCAAGACTAAAGACAACCAGTTCTTTCAGTGTCTTCCAGGATCTCTGTGTTAATCCTTTGAATATCATTTGGTAGCAGTCTCCCCCAATTCTTTGATATCCCTATTTTTAAACCCTCTTGCCCATTTGTCTTCTCTTAAATGTCTCAGGGTATGAGCCCTGAAAGCCACCAGCAACAGAAATAGAAGGTTTACAGTTTTTATCATGACATGTATGGAACCTAGTTTGAACTCTTCAACACTTTAACATGGAATAAAAAAAAAGTACATGAGAAATGGAGGAAGTTCAAGAAAAGCAATGTACAACCATCTTAGTTCTTCTAAGAACTAAGAAGAACTGGTTAAGCAAAGATCATAAGGCTCAGCATGGCAAGGATATCAATATCAATTTGGTGGGATGAAAGGAAAATTTGGGATAACCCATTTCCTGACTTATTTTGATTTGATAATGAAGTAGGTATTTGAATGCCTTAGCAATTCTGGAGGACATTCCCTTTAATTTAGTCAGTAATGGAAGAACTTAAAAAATATTTATTTATTGCAATTTCTAAGCCAATGTCTTATTCCTGATCAAAGTGTCAGGCTAATGTTACTTGTGCCTGAGTACTTGTTCAAAAAAGAAGAAAAAGCAAAGTGTTATACTGCTGATTTATCCCCATCCTCAGCACCTTTCATTTCCAAAATGCCACATTGGATGTATTGTATGCTTAAAAATTAAAGAAATGTCGGTGGCTTCCATTAACTGATTTTTTGCTTGGGGAAAAAAATGCCAAAAGTAAATAGCATAGCAGAAAGAGAAAGGGGTGCTTCAGTAGGAAGGTGGGGGGATGAAGGAGACTAAAGGAGGTATCAAATAATATTGTGGCATATTTTTGCTTTGTAACGTGATCTCTCTCTTCCATAGCAGCTATTTTGTGAAAGCATCCATACCACATTCTCAAAATTCTAGATGCATAGTTGGGGAACCCTGGTCTCCTTCAACCTTAAACTTGTCAACAATATTGATATTGAATTTTGGTGACTAAAATACCGCAATAATCATGTAGTTTAACAATGTGCTGGCTTTATTTGAATAAATCTATTATCTTCAGAAATGTTCAAGTTATAATAGTTGAAGATCTCACGGTTTCCTTCTTTCTCTTTCAGCTAATAGCAATTACAGTATTTTAAATTGCACACAAATTTTACATATTGGCAAAGAAGCAAATGTCTGGGTGTCCATTGGAGGACTAATTCCATTTTCAAACTACACAGTGGAAGTGAATGCTTCTAATAGCCAAGGTTATGTGATCAGTGATCCTGTAGAAATTGTCCTGCCTGCTGGTGGTAAGTACAATAAAACAGTCTTATTGTATATGCCCTCTCTTCTATTCAAAAGTACATGGAGTAAAGCTGTGCTATCACTTGCCTCTAACCTGCCTGGAGGTAGAACAGAGAGAAACAGAACTGTACCTTCATCAACAGTTGTGTTGATGCTTAGAATAAATTTTCACAGCTAACTCTAGGAGATTAGCATGAATTAATATGTCACGGAAGCCTGCTTCTTATTTCCAATATAATGCCAGTATTCTCTAAAATAGTCATAGATGCTATTTTATTGTGCAGTAATTCAGAACATGGAGCAAAGAGAATCAACTTCAAATGTGATTCCATACATGACTTTATTAGATGAATTAACATTCATTCTTTTATCCTTAACTCTACTATATTAGAGCTGTTATCCTTGAGACAGTAGTACTATTTTAATATATAGGATTGGGATAGATGTACAGTATCTGAAATGTTTTAAGCAGAAAAGAAAAAAATGTATAATCACTAGGTTCAGTTCTTACTGTTTTCAGTGGTTTATTTGTATCAAGAAAGCTCTCTGGTGTTTGTATCAGTGTACAATAGTGGAGAAGAATATATTTTAATTTAGTGAGCCACAAAATAGCCAATACCAAAGGAAAAGGTGGAGTATTCAAGGTAATGTAATCATATGATTATGCCAGTTTATTCTGGGAATTATTGTATAATGTAGTTTCTTTCATCATTTGTTGTTGATTACAGTTAGGAAATGTATTGCTTTGAAATGATCTTTTTTATGACCTTGTGGTACTTTAAAAGCAATACCTCATTGATTAAATAGGTTTTAGTTCATGCTTCTTTTTATTTAATGACCTGAAAGCACATTATCTTGATTTACACATAAAATCATGCTGAAAAGCATGTGGCATTCAGTAGACTATGTGTATTTAAGTAGAATTAAATTAGCATTGAAAGTTATTAAAGATCTTCCATCCCATTGTCCAGTGGACTGTGATTTGAACTGAAATGAATAATAAATGAACCAGCAAATATAAAAAAGCCCTGATATATAAGACATTCTATATTCTGTATTTACCTTGCCATTATGTTTTATTATAATATTTTAACTGTATTAGCATTCAAGACCTAAATGTACATTTTAAATTAAATAGTAAACTGTAGCTCTTTATTATAAATGTTTAAGAGAAATTTATTAGACTAGTTGCTAAAATTAATTGAGTCCAAGTTTTGATTACTTTGTTTGCTTGTCTTAATTCTCCTAAAAGAGAAGTATTGCTTACCTGTCTATCCTTTAGCTATTACACTCCCGAATATTAAAGTATAATTCTAGCAAAAGTTGATATTTGGTTGATATTTGCTGTAGAGTTTTGCAAATTATCCACAATTGTGTAAAATAGGCAATTCTGCAGAAGAAAAAATACAACTCAGAATAATTCTGAGAGGCTCAAAACTGGGATGAAAATGACAAAATGAAATTTGCCAAGTTGCTAAGAAGATAAGGATTTCTATCTTCTTAACAGAAACTAGTACAATAATAATTATAATCATTATAATAATAAAGTTGGAAGGTACCTTGGAGGTCATCTAGTCCAACCCCCTGCTCAGGCAGGAAACCCTATACCATTTCAGACAAATGGCTGCCCAGTCTCTTCTTAGAAACTTCCAGTGATGGAGCATTCACAGCTTCAACACTGGAAGTTTTTAAGAAGAGAATTGTTTTGTGGACGTAGATTTTGTGGATATGAGATTCAGTTTAAGTAATGGTTGACATCAACTGTCCCTTAATTTGCTTTAATCTAATTGGCTGCTTTAGCTATTTCATCAGTGAAAGCTGCATGAACTAGCAACGGATCAGAAAAGTCAGACACAAGTGTTCATGTTGGAAAAACGAAAGAACCACCAGTTAAATTCATCACTGCATTAATAAGTCGAAACCAAGAAAGGAAATGATCCAAGAGTTGATAGGTAAAAGAAACCTGAGAAGTTTTGCATGATGTTCAAGTTCAGAACAAAGGCATTTATAAAGTATATAAATTTTAAATAGACTGCATTTTGCCTCAAGACTTTTTTTTCTTTTCAGATGAACTGAAATCTTGTCTGGAACTGTCTTTGTTACATCAAAGAACTGTACAGAAAGCTAAAAGAAACCAAAGAAGCATAAAAGGGCATAGTTTAAAATGATTAGTGACAATTCTTATACAGCAGAGAAATATTTTTTTTCTGACTCCTTCTACCTCCCTCAATGAATAAATTCATCCCATTAATCTTGTCCTAAAATGTTTCAGTAGGAATTGTTAAAAAAAATATGAAAGCGACATATTAATCAATACTCAGCTACAGCATTCCTGGTGTTCAAATACATTTAAACTAAACTCAAATATGTAGCCATTAACATTTCAAAAAACAGCATTTTACCCTAACCTGTAAATAATAACATTTGAAATGTAAGTGCTCTATAGAAAGCTGTTTTAGCTGCTGCTCTTCTGAGACAAGGGGATGCGGTGGCTCAGTGGTTAAGATGCTGAGTCTTAGATTGTTAGACTTCTACAGCTTGGCAGTTTGAGACCCAGGTGCCATGAGACACAGTGAGTTACTGCCACTTGTCCCAGCTCCTGCCAGCCTAGCAGTTTGAAAGCATGAAAACACAAGTAGATGAGCATATAAGCATGCGGAAGGTAACAGTGTTCTGCTTTTCGCCATATGCTCTGTGCTTCAGCATGATGTCATGCTGGCCTCAAAGAAGTCCTATTCTCAATTAGCTTTGGCTTGCAAATGGAAGACCAGTGGCCAATCACTGGAAGAAAATCTGCTGGGATGCCCCAGCAAGATATCATCTTCTTAAAACACAGTTCGGAAATGTCCTGATGCAGTTTTTCATGAAAAGTCTTTGTGATGTCGCCTTTGGGTCATCCCCAGACTACAGCCAATGCCACTTCAAATAAACTTTTTAAATTGGTATTTCCCCAATTCTTCCAGGACGGTTTTCACTGTGGTTAAGATCTGACATGCGTTGTTGATGATGCTGACACTGACATGCTCTGATGAGATACTTTCAACTCCCGTTGGACACTGCCAACTGTTTAGAAGTATGGGATTAGATTATCTGAAGCAAAGAAGCAGCAGTCTTTTTTTCCATTTATTTTTCCTTGTATATTTAGTGGAAGAGGGGCTTCCTTGAGTTAGGGGAGAGTTCCCTTACTCTTACTACATTTTTTAATGCAATTTGCATGGAAGTCACAGTAGCTGTCATATAACTTTTTATTGCATTAGATAATAATTCTCTTTGTTAATTTTCTCTTATATTTTTATTCTTTTATGGCTGATAGATTTTAATCAAATGTTGAATTCCAGCAATATTTTCCCAGCAAAACCTGATTTCTATATTGTGCATGTCAGAGTTTAAATCAAAAATTTTAATCCTGAACAACACAAATATTTATTTATTTATTTATTTATTATTTATTTATTTATTTATTTATTTATTTATTTATTTATTTATTTATTTATTTATTTATTTATTTATTTATTTATTTATTTACCATATAACATTAGTTCTCTATTTAATTATATTTTAGAGTGTCAACTGGAAATTTATTACCTAGGTATCTAGGTCTTTTTTTTTTTTGCAATATTTCTCAGTACTACTATTTATTATAAGAAAAAGTCATCCTGTTCTTTTCAAGGTCTGGTTATGGACATCCTATAGTTGGGATGTCTTTTGAGCATATATTTTGTGTCATACTATTGTGCAAATTTCATGGAAAAAACAATATTAAAAATCTGAACAAAAAAATTGAAAAATAAAATTAAGGAAATTTCAAATATATATGCAAGATAATCTATACTGTAACTGTATAGATCCTTTATGCCTCATACAAATATTGTCTTCTCAATTGAAATAGCAATAAGAAAATTATATTATTTCTACCATTACAGACCCTAGGTAAAGTATATGACTCCAATCATATCTTTATTTTTCATACTCATGTTATAATCCTAAATCAAAGGTTATAAAGGACGTTAAATATTTTTTTAAAGAAATAATAGAGCTCTGAAGATTAAACAAGACCAATATCTATCCAGGTAATAATAGACAAATAATAATTAACAAAACCCATTCATTCTGATTTTTTAAAAAAAGAATTCCCAGTCTGGGAATTATTTTTCCAACTTTCTTTAATATGGCCAGGAGTTACCAACTTTTCAAGACTTGTAAAAGTTCTGATGGTTATGCAAACAATCATGAGATTTCCTTATTAAATGTTGATATCAACATTATGAAAGTAAATTCTAACACTTAAAGTGGTGGTAGATAGATCATGTTAGATTTCTAATATATTAGAAATGCATATATTGAAAAATGAGATTAGTGTTATGCCAATGAATCTGGATAATTGTCCAGGCTCAAATTGTCCTACTTCATTATGGGAAGCTCTCTGGAAAAAGCTCTAATGCTGGGAAAGGAAAGAGAAGAAGAGGATGACAAGAGCAGGATGGTTGGACTCAGATAGGATGATGAGGAGTGCGCTATTGGGAGACTTGAAAGAATAGGTTAGGGGTAGCTTGTTATGGAGAAAATCTATGTCATTGCTAGGAGTCAAAAATGGCTTGGTGGCAAATTAGTCAATTGGTAGACACTGAAATAGCCTTTTATGTGATTCAGTGAACATTTCTGGAGCAAATAAATCATATTTTTCCCATAATTTTGATTACATTGTGGTACTCTAATGTTTTGTAGCTCTTCCGGGTCCTGTGAAACAGAACCCTATATATTAAACAGAAAGTTTCAATTAGACCTGAAGGGCACTCTAGTGAAAAAGTTTCAAGAAGTATAAGAAAAAGGTGGAATTGTACAAATCTTTAAGCCTTTTTGAAGGCAAAAAAAATGGATGGGAGCAATTACATAGAATAAATTACTAGTTAAGCTAAACCACAATGTTTTCTTCCTTCCTTCCTTTCCTCCTTCCTTCCTGGTATGCAGATTCACCATTGTGGCTTACTGTAAAATGCCAATTAAA